AAGGCAGAGGCTTAACCCACTGAGCCAGGTGCCTTAAAATGTACAAATTCTTAACCAAATTACCAGAGCTAACTGAAAAAGGAATAAAGTAAATATTCCTGTATCTATTAAAGAAACTGAATTCATAGCTAAAAACCTTCAACAACTAAAACAAATTCATCTAGTAATATGTAAAAAGGATATACATCATGCCCTAGTGGAGTATATCCCAGGAACACAAGGTTGACTTAACTTATGAAAAATTCATCAGTGTAGGGGCCCCTGGATGCCTCAGTCAGTTTAAGCGTCTGCCTTTGGCTCAGGGCATGATCCCAGGGTCCTGGGATCGAGCCCCATCTCTGGCTCCCAGGTCAGCGGGGAGTCTGCTTCTGCCTCTCCCCGCTGCTCATGCTCTGTGTCTCTCTCAAATGAATAAATTTTTTTAAAAAACTTAAAAAAAAAAAAAAAAGAAAGAAAAACTCATCAGTGTAATTCATCCTATCAAGAAACTAAAGAAAAACTCATAGGATTATCTCAACAGATGAAGAAAGAAATTTAACAAAATTCAATATCCACTCATGATAAAAACCATGAGCAAGTAGAAATTGAACAGAAAGTTGTCAGCCCATACTGAGAGCTAATATCATGCTTAATGGCTAAACAATGAATGCTTCCCCCCTAAAACCAAGAACAGAACAAGGTGTGTTCTCACTACTCCTATTCAAAATTACACTGGAGGAAAAACTACAAAACTCCTAGAAGAAAACATGGAGGAAAAGTTTTATGATGTTAGATTTGTCAATGATCTCCTGGAAATGACACCAAAGGCAAAGGCAACCAAAAAATATATAGATTACTTGTACTCATCAAAATAAAACTTTTGCATGCCTGAGTGGCCCAGTCAGTTGTCTACCTTCAGCTCAGCTCATGATCCTGGAGTTCTGGGATCCAGTCCTGCATTGGGCTCCCTGCTCAGCAAGGAGTTTACCTCTCCCTCTGCCCTCCTTGTGCTCTCTCTCTCAAATAAATAAAATCTTTTAAAAAAATTTTTTTTAAATAAAACTTTTATATATCAAAGGACACAAACATCAGAGTTAAAGGCGACCCATGAAATGCAAGAAAATGCAAACCACTCATCTGATAAGGGGTTAATACACAGAAATTATAAGGAACTCCTACATTTCAACCACAATGAAATAACCCAATTAAAAACTGGGCAAACGGGGCGCCTGGGTGGCTCAGTGGGTTAAAGCTTCTGCCTTCAGCTCACATCATGATCTCAGAGTCCTGGGATCCAGCCCTGCATCGGGCTCTCTGCTCAGCAAGGAGCCTGCTTCCTCCTCTCTCTCTCTCTCTGCCTGCCTCTCTGCCTACTTGTGATCTCTCTCTGTGTGTCAAATAAATAAATAAAATCTTTAAAAAAAACCACACAACTTGGCAAAAGATGTGAATACTTTTCAAAAGATGATATATAAATGGCCAATTAGCATACAAAAAACTCAACATCCCTAGTCATTACGGAAATGCAAATCAAAACCCCAATGAGATACCACTTCACACACACTCACATCAGGATGGCTGATACCAACACAAGAAAAAGAATAAGCGTTGGTAAGGACGCGGAGAAACCGAACACCTGTGATTGCTGCTCCGTCTGTAAAACGGGTAAAGGGACGCAGACCTTGTGGAAAACAGTTTGTTGGTCCTCAACACATTAAACAGAGAATCAGCCTATGATGCAGCGATTCCACCTCTGGATAAATACCCAAAAGAACTGAAAGGACACAAAGAGCTATTTGAACACTCCGGTTCATAACAGCATTCGTTATTCATAATACCCAAAAGGCAGAAACCACTCAAGTGTCCAATGACAGAGGAATGTCCAAATGCAGTACATACACGCAACTCAGTCTTAGAAAGGAAGTAGACCCTGAGTCGTGCCACCCCATGGATGAACATTGAAGACACGGGGGAAATGAGCACAGTAACGGATTCATAGAAGGACAAAGACTGTTACGACTTCCCTCACTGGAGGCAGCCGGAGGAGTCAAACTCACAGATACAGAAAGCAGAACGCTTGTCAAGGGCTGTGGGAAGGGGGCGCAGGGGGGAGGGGGTGTTGTTTATTGAGGACAGCATTTTAGTTTGGGAAGATGACCGAGGGCTACAAATGGAAAGTGATGGTTGCACAACAATGTGGACACACTTAATGCCACTGAACTCTATACTTAGAAAGGGTTAAAATGGTAAATTTTATGGGATGTTCATTTCACCATTTAAACGAATCATACTGAAGATCCCTGCCAATATAATACAGCAGAAAAATAAATAGGTGAAAGTCACATGGCTCACAAATGGGGGGGGGTGGGGAAATGCAGATAATATATGACTGTCTAAAGAGAAAATCCCACAGAAGCTACAACAGCGCTCCTAGATTTAATAAGTGATTTTAGCAAGGTCCCAGGAACAACATTAATGACACAAAAACCACCTGTATGATAGGAATGAATATGGAAATTGAAATTTTTTAAACTACACAACTTACAAACTACTGCAATATAAATCTAATAAAAATACATAAATTCTGTATGCTAAGAATCATAAAACACTGATTTCTTTAGGTAAAAAAAAAAACTAAATAAAGAGAGGTATCATCTTCACAGACTGGCAGACTCCATGTGGTCATGAGGTCTGTTCTTCCTGTCTTTTATGGATGGAGGTTCCTGTGATGGGTCCTGCATGACCGACCACCCCGACCTGCACGCGTGCAGGCAGCTGAAGAATGTTGCTGGTGAGACTTGTGCTGCATAAGTAACGTGGGAGCCGGCCTCCAGGTCAGAAGTGGCCTTTCTGGTCTGGACACCAAGAGCTATAAACTTGGCCTTCCATGCCCTTCAGCTCCAGGCTGGGCTGTTCCCCCACCCCCAGTGGAATCCGGGAGGGGAGGCAAAATCACCTAGACCAAGCTCCTTGAATATGTAAAGACATGATGATACAGGAATGTGACTAGCTCCAAACTGCACACAAACAAATGTCTAACTCCAAACCTTGTCTCTGCCCTACCGCCCTATACCGCCCTTATGGGGTATAGTCTCCCCAGTGCGAGGATGCTCCGTCCAGGCCTCGAAATCAAGACTCCAGCTGGGGCTTCCCCAACTGACTGGGCTGGATGCTGTACGTACCCAATTTGACGGAACTCTGTCTTATTCTCCCTTACTGCTTACTACTGCCCTCATCTATGCGTAGATTTTCCTTTTCTTCTGTTTCTATTAGATTTTTATAATATCAATGAAGTGTTTTTCCCCTTCAAAACTAGAGAGTATGGCTGCTGTGAATCTTTCCTTTAGGACACTTTCTTAATTGTTCAATACACTGAGTGCAATCCCCACCAAAATTCGGGGCACCTGGGTGACTCAGTGGGTTAAAGCCTCTGCCTTCGGCTCAGGTCCTGATCCCAGGGTCCTGGGATCCAGCCCCACCAAAATTTCAGCAGAGCTTTTTGTAGGACTCAATAAGCTAATCCCAACTTGATATGAAAATGCTGGCTAGGCCTCAGGGCATCTTCTCATCTCACTCCAAACTCTCCCTCTAGACTATCTCATCTCTAACTGTGGGTTCCATCAACACCTCTACCAAAGATATATTCTGAACATAAACTCCACTTCTTGAGTATAGTCCTCACTGGAGAGTGAAGTTTGAGAAAAGGGAGCTAACTAGAAAAATAATTCAATCAAAAGGCCAAATTATGAGAGAGGACAGTAATATGTTCAAAAAGAAAGAGGATTTCAGAGAACAGGTCAGACATAGTAAGGAGACTACAGCAAGGATTCTCTTTGTTTCAGTGAGACCCGTGGTTAGAAGTACTAATCTAAAATACGCAAACCTCCTGAATACTTAGGATGGACCACAGTGGTGAGAGACGTATCAGAGCATCCTGGGTATCACTAACCTCTTCTCTTAAACTTGTTGTGAGGATCAAGTTTGGGACACAGCCTCCCTCACACTCGGAACAAGAACAAAAGCCTGAGATGACACCTCAGAAATTAACACTCAAAGCTAAAAAGGCTTTCATTCATATGGGAACAGTGGAATATAGTGCAGGGCACTGATTAGAACACAGTTTTACCATCCACACGTGTCTTTTTTCAATATGAGAAACTGACAATAACAATACAGACAAATGTCTTTTCATTTAATTAGCAAAATTTATCTTAAATACTTTCCACGAAAAACACAGAGTTTCTAGATTTTCAGTGGTGGTTGTATTAAAAGACTTGGACATAGAGCTTCGAGTCACTTCATTAAAGCCAAACCCCACTGTCACCCACTGAACCCACTCAGAGAAAGGCTCCACCTCTGAAATTCATAAACTCAAATGTTTGTCTCTGATCACAACTTCCTTCCTTTTTGGTCTCTCAGAACTTTTCACCTAGAAATCGAAAATAGATTCCTCGGACACCCACTCTACTTATGTTGCAGTCCCTGGGCCCTATAGATCCTTTTTACTACTTTTTACCTTAAAAGTGACCTGCTATTTATGCCTAATCCAATGCATGCTTTTGTGTTTTAGCATTTCTACCACACTTAAAATGTCATACCCCTTCCAACCTGAAACTCTGCTGCTTTCACTTTCACGACACCTCTCCTTCTTGGTTTTCTTCTTTTTCTTTTAATCATGGTGAGGTTTAGGTGTCACTGATCTGGGAACTCACTGCGCCCAAACGTATCTATGTTATGGTGCCCTGTAATTTTTGGTTCACTTGATTTTTTTTGTCACTGGTCTATGAAGAACTCGAGGACAGGGATGGCTTCTTTCAACTGTGACGTTCCAGTTCTCATAGAGACAATCACTTAGGAAGTTCATAATAAAGAAAACTAAGGGCTGGATTCTGTAAGTATTTAATTTTACTAAGATACTGTTAAACTGCAAGGTCACCTGGGGGATAAAGATTCTGACCGATCTTTTGGTGACATTTCATTTCACAGAAAAAAATTTATAAATAACAAACTTCAAAACATACCTAGCCACTGTTGCTGAGATATTTCACACCAGTATTTCCTCACTGAGAGAACGTCCTTGAGCAGAATGTTGCTACAATCTGCTCCATAAATGGAACCATTAGATGAATCTTTCACTGTATCCATGATATAATTCAAGAGTTCTTGACATTTCAGTCTGGGTGCTCCTATTGAAAAATAAACAAATAAAAACATATAAATCTTAAGAAACACAGGAACACTTGGAATTGCAGCTATATGAATAATTCCTTATGGGACATTACTATGAACTAATTTCTCATAGAGCAGGAATTAGCAAACTGGGGCCCGTGGGCAAAATGCTCCCAACTGCCTGTTTTGGAAACTAAAATTTTCCTGGGTCACAGCCATGACCGTTCATTTACATACTGTCTAAGGCTACTTTCATGCTACAGCAGCAGAGCTGACTAACTGACACAAAACTGTATAGCCTACAAAGTCAAAAACATCGACTGGTCACTTTACTAAAGTTTGCTGATCGCTACAGGAATATATAGCAAAAACAATCATCCACCCCATCCTTGATAATTCACAGTCTCTGGCACTAGACCTAAAATGATCCAGTTTCTTGGTACCTTTTACGAAGAACGAACCCATTAGAATAACCAAAGATTGTAAGAAGGATGGGGTACCTGGGTGGCTGTCACTTAAGCACCTGCTTTCAGCTCAGGCCATGATCCTGGGGTCCTGCTCAGCAGGGAGTCTGCTTGACCCTCTCCCTTTGCCGCCCACCCCCAACCAATGCACTCTTTCTCTCAAATAAATAAATAATCTTAAAAAAAAAAAAAAAGATTGTAAGGAGAATATTGGGCTTTGAAAACGAAATTACTTTCATATTGTACAAAAGCATTTGTGGCATATAAATATGTAAGGCTCTAATATTTCCAGTTTTATATATTAGAGGTCCTAAAATTAAGAGTTTATTTATTTATTTGACAGACAGAGAGAGAGATCACAAGTAGGCAGAGAGGCAGGCAGAGAGAGAGAGGAGGAAGCAGGCTCCCCGCCGAGCAGAGAGCCCAACATGGGGCTTGAATCCAGGACCCTGAGATCACGACCTGAGCCCAAGGCAGAGGCTTAACCCACTGAGCCACCCAGGCGCCCTCAGTATTAACAATCTTAAAATGGCATATAACTTTTTTGTTATAAGCTATGAACAGACCACAAGTCATATATATATCTGATTATATTCTAGCTTAGCACTTTCTTATGAGGAGTTTAGCATTTTCTTATCAAACTATAGTAAATAAATACTGACACAACCGTTTATCATTTTTACTTGATTTATACCACACTCTCGGGCACTGAACCAGTGACGAAATGCACGATCACGTTCCTCTGCTATGACACCCTGCGGCCCCCTCCCTCTTACAGTCCTCGTAACCATCTCTTAACTGTAATATCTACTATATGATAACATCCCTAAGGAATTACTTAATCTCTATATGGCAACACAGCCCGGTAACTGTCCTAAATAATATTTGCTTAGTAAACATTTATTAACTACACAAATTAATGTCATGATGAAATCATATTTCCCTGCGGCCTCAATCTCAACAAATTTCCTTCCTGCGCCAAATTTGAGAAAGGTTTCAAGAATTACACTGAAGTTCTTTTTCTGAGGAAACCCGCCTCCAAGGGACAACTAAGTTGACTAAGGAGAATTTAAGGACCCTCACAAAACTTCGCATTTTACAAAGCTGGGCTTTCTATCCTCTAGGCCCCATCTACCTGGCGTGCAGAGCAGACCAACACCTACATAAAAGAATGAATGATAGCTGCTTATTGCTCCCTTCCTCACTCTCGTTTTCGAATCTCTGCCTCTTTCAGAAGACCTTGAATACCAACGCTAAGTCTGGACATGTGTTTCAGTTCCCATCAACTCCCCAACTCTTTGAAAAACACAAAGTGAGAAGACATGACAGTAACGCTCTGGTTTTGTTCAGAGCATAAAGATGCTTAACTTACAAAGTCAAACTAGAAAGAAAAGGAAGCCTCAAATAAAAACACAAACTTTCAACCACTTAAATAATCTTACTCTGATAATTTCATCTACTTATTCCTGTAACCCAACACAGTGATACTTTCACACATTTTCCAAGTGTATTTTCCAATACTGTTAATTTTGTGACTGAAGGTTTTTTCACCGTAAAGCGAAATTATACCCTGCAAACTTTTCTAGTGGGCAAAAATGGGTCCAGATATCTTTCTCTCAATAACTCTATAAGTACAAATTAAAATAGGTAAACCCAATGTAAGCAGCCAAGGGAACAAATTTTAATAAATGCAGGGCTATCATTCAGGGCAAAAGCAGGTACACAGTATTTCTGTGTAGCTTTCCTCTCCATGTGCTGGAGTCCGTGACACAGGCTTGCCCCTATCCACACAAACTGCCACCTCAGAGCTGGAAAACTGAACTTCTGCTAAACCACTGCTTTTTAGACTTAAATCTCATACCACCATTCTGAGACAGCATTCACGAGCCATCTATATCCTTCTACTTAATAATGTTTACCGACACTGGACTTTTCTCATTCTTTTTATCTTATTAAGTCTTTCACTTCAATGCCAGTATAGTTACCATACGGTGTTACTGTACTTTCGGGTGCCCAAAATAGTGATTCAATGGCTTTTCTGATTCCCAAACTAAACCTGGAATCACAAATTACTATTCACACACATTGGGTGTGAATTGTAACAAAGTCTGAGCCCAAGAGCCCCTAAGCAAACATTTCTACTTCTAGGTTTCAACATTGTAGGAAGCCCCTTTCCTTACATAGGCCTATTGCTATTGGGCACTTTGGGTCAAAAATATCAACTCTTTAAGACAACCACGGCCCCCATTCAAAGTGGGAAATACATGGCTCATGAGGAGCAAAAAACCACTGGGCATTTTTTTATTTAATCAATACTGGGCATGGTGGGTTCTGATTGCAAGAAAGCTAATGTAATCTCAAAATGAATTAGTAAAAGTAGAGAATAAAAGATATATAAGTCCTGCTCCACTCTTTACCAATCAGAATATGGCTATGATTAAGTCCTACACTTTGAGATATAATTAAACTGAAGAAAATTCAGAAGAGAGTGACACAAAAACTAGGGTCAAATGAGCTGAATAAAGAACATCTGTTTAGGTTAGAGACAACGACTCAAAGGAAATGTCAAAGCTTACTTCGGGTATCTCAAAAGATAACAAAAATTTAACAGGATTTTTCTATATTATCTCAGAAGGCAGAAGCAGTAACAAAGGGAGACAGGTTTCACCACTATTAAGGCTATTCAAAGACAGGAAAAAAAAGCTTAAAAGGTATGTTCAATCATTAGGGCTACCTAAGTCCTAGGAACAAATAGAAGGGATCCAAGAAGAATGGCAGTTGGAATACTAATTTTAATTTTTGGAGGCTATCACTCCACGCTTGCATAAATTCCTCCAAATATTTGAACCGATCATATATTAAAAACCATTACAAGTACCACAAATTAGAGTTAGCACTAAACATTTACCTCAACATATTCCAACCAAACTCATGCAACAATGACCTTTTAAACCAGCTATTTATAATAAATAACAGTACTTACTTTTATTTGCACATTTGATGAAGTACTTGACCAAACTACTGATTTCTTGCATCTTTTTCTGTCTAGTGGCTTGTGTTGAGGCTGATACACTTGGTTTCGCTGTTCTCAGACATTCTGTTTCTTTCTGAACATATTTCTGTAAAAATCTTCAAAAAACAAAGTGGAATTTCAGAATTATTAAATTCAGAATTCAGAATTATTAAATGCCTGAATTATTACAACAGTGTGAAAAATCCTTTACGCCATCACAAAGAGAATCTCTGAAGCCACCACACGGCCATCAACATACCAGCTAAAAAAAATAATTTTCTCTTTCAAGGCACAATACCAATTTAAAGTCTGTTCCACAAAGTTCTAAACTGTAACCTCCATGATTTTCTGTTGCTTTACTGTTTGTTTTTTCATTTTATAATTAAAAGCTTACAATGCTACTGAGCTCTCAGTCCTCTCTTACTTGTTATTTTGTACACAACCCAAACCTTTCCCAGGTAGGTGGCAATGTCTCTAGCTTTTGAATGAAGTCTGCCTAGAAGATATTCATGATTTGTTGGAAGTGCCAGGTGCCTATTGGACCTACCTGATTTGCTTATGCAAAATAATACTCATCTTTAGGTAGGAACCATTTTTGTGGTATTTGAAATGAACTAAGTAACCAGAGAAAAGAAACATGCATTTTTTTATGTTATCTGCACTGAAATCTGTAAGTCCATCCAATACCAAGTAAGTCGTAAAAATAAAAGTTCTAAACACTTAAGAACAAGTAAATATACTTTCCCCTTGGCTGAACATGTTATTTAGAGCTTCCCACTATTCTACATTAGTTTAAAATATTTTATTCATTTTTCCTAAGTTTTACAACCTATTCCTAGGTACAAACGGACTTCAGAGTTGAAAATTATGTCTCAATGTAAAAAGACACCAATTCTATGTGGCACTCCAGTCCAGCAATCAATTGTCCTTCCAAAGCCTGATGTTTTTAACTGCATTCCTACAGAAATTATTCTGTAATTGTTTTCTTAATTACAATTTAATATGTAGCAGTTATTCAGAGGAATATTTAAAGGTGTAAAAGTAATAACAAAGCATTTATAACTTAATTTATTCTCCAATTTGAAATAAAGTGTTCTTCTAAAATAAAGTCTTGAATGAACTAATATGAAAGGAATCCTCTTAATCTTGAGTGAGATCTAAGAACTTTCATTGAACAAATGCCTTTCTATAGTAACATCCTTTAAAAATCATATTTCAGACAAATATTAAGCACCAACTTTACATGCAAGGCACAACAGTATACAGAAAGCAAAGATAAGTAAGACCTACATATACAAAAATATCACAACAAATAAGAATGGAAGAGGAGGGGCGCCTGGGTGGCTCAGTGGGTTAAAGCCTCTGCCTTCGGCTCAGGTCATGGTCTCAGGGTCCTGGGATGGAGCCCTGCATCAGGCTCTCTGCTCACCGGGGAGCCTGCTTCCCCCTCTCTCTCTGTCTGCTTCTCTGCCTACTTGTGATTTCTGTCAAATAAATAAAATTTTAAAAAAAATAATAATAACTGAAAAAGGAAAATAAAGACAGTAAAAAAACTTGGAATGGAGTACCGAAACACAGCATCCCAATTCAAGTATTTGCTTTGTTTGGAATCTGAATGTCGATCTAAATGTTGAACAGTTTCAGGATCCCGAATCAGGCGCTTAAATTTCTCAACTTCTTTCTGAAAATGAAAAAGAACACAGTACTGGGTTGCCAATCACACGCTAACTTCAAGGAAAGATTAAGCTTCAGGAATTTACTACCCTTCGTTCGGTGGCTCTGTCATGTTCCAGTTGACGGCAGCAAATAAGCAGATCGTTCAGTGCTAAACTCATGGTGCAGAACTGCAGAAAGCACAGCACTGTAAAAAAAAAAGAAACACACGTAAATGCAAAATTATTTCAGACTGTGGTATTAACAGTCAGATCAGACTGTACAATTACATGCATACTGTAACCATAAAATTATTTTTCTTAATGTTTCCACATTCAAATGAGATTTTCTTAGAATATATCAAAACAAAGCTTCAACCTGCAAACGGGTACTAGTTTGCAATAGCAGGATAAAAACGAGCAACACATAAATTTACTTTTCTGAGACCTTTTCTAAGAAACATGATAATTCAATTAAAATGTAGAAGACCAACAGAAGACAGCCTGGTCAAGAATAAGGAAAAGAGGGGCACCTGAGTGACTCAGTCATTAAGCCTCTACCTTCCGCTCAGGTCATAGTCCCAGGGTCCTAAGATCAAGCCCAACACTGAGATCCCTGCTCAGCCGGAAGCCTGCTTCTCCCTCTCCCTCTGCTGCTCCCACTGCTTGTGTTCCCTCTCTGTCTCTCTCACTCTCACTCTGTCAAATAAATAAGTAAAACCTTTAAAAGAAAAAAAAAAGGAATAAGGAAAAGAAAGGGATGCCTGGGGGTCTCAGTCAGCTAAGTACATCTGACTCTTGTTTTCAGCTCAGGCATGAACTAGAGGTGGTGAGACCAAGCCTCTGCGATGACCGGCGCAGGGCTCAGCATAGAGTCTATTTCTGATTCTATCTCTCTCCTTCCTTCTCCCCACTCCCCACCCGGAATGCATGCACACTCTCTCTAAAATAAATTCAAAAATTTGGGGCACCTGAGTGGCTCAGTAGATTAAAGCCTCTGCCTTCGGCTTAGGTCATGATCCCAGGGTCGTGGGATCGAGCCCCAAGTTGGGCTCTCTGCTCAGCAGGGAGCCTGCTTCCTCCAATCTCTCTCTCCGCCTGCCTCTCTGCCTATTTGTAATCTCTGTCAAATAAATAAATAAATAAATCTTTAAAAAAGATAAAATAAATAAAATAAAATAAATTCAAAAATTAAAAAAAAAAAAAAAGGAAAAGGGGATTTGAGGATTTAACAGCTGACTGACCTGTTCTTAAGGATGACCAGCTGATTTAAGGATCGACTAGCTGCACTATTTAACTCTTAATTATTTAACTCTTACATGGAGTAACAAAATACATCATTTACTAAGCCAAAAGCTGGAATTGCTTAGGCTTTGGAATTGCTATGCAGGAGGTTATCAGAGCTAGTAAGCCTTCCCTAGCACTAAGTCTCAGCTGGCTTTACGGTTCTCCTCTAAAACATAAAAATTCAAGTGCAATTATGCTGCTGTTTCAAAGGGAATTAAATACTATAGTGCCAAAAATCAAATACACTTTACTGCACCTTAATGCCATTGCTGTAGCCTACCTCCTTTTAGGTTTCTGATATAATCAAACCTTCCTTTGATAACCTTTAAAAAAAAGGCCTAAGAAAAGCATTTTGTGTCATTATTTCTGACTCTTCTTACAAGAAAGCTTCGTTTTTGTTAGACTACAAGTGTTTACAAACAAAAAACTTTTTTTGTCCTTGACATATATCAAGAAGAAGGGGAGTCCTTCTCCCATCCGTTCATATAAACTCTACTCATTCTTTAAAGACCAAGTATGTTTCTTTGCTGTTGTTTAATTCAGTCTTAAAATTGGAACTGAAAGACCATGTCCAATCTTCTTACAAAGGAAGAAATCCCTCCTATAAAAGTATTTAAACACTCTCCGTAAATACTCTGAGAGCACACTACCTAAGAAGCCAACCTATTTCGTTGGTAGGTAGCTCTAATTCGCTTCTTCATTTTTACTCATTGGCTGTTGTGACTCTTTTATCCCTGTTACAACCTCCTTTACTCTGCTGTAGATTAAAGGTTGTTATTTACCAAGAGTTTGCCATGTGATTGTAAACTTCTTGAGGAAAAGGGTTATTATTTTTATTTTCCATTCCCTCTTATCTAGGACTCTTTCCCCTTCATACTCAATCGTGGTTTAAAACCCTCTTGATTGAGTCAGTAAGTAAAATAAAACTGGGATCATAACCAACACAAACACCTTAACAAGATCCATATCCAAAGAACCATAAACGTAGGCATGTTTATTCCTAAGTATACTGAAGATGTTATTTATAACATAATAAAAAATGCAAGTTTACTGACCATGTGACACTTCCAGGAAGATGCAGCCCTCAATTTTTTCTTTTTTTAAGCTGTGGTTTTTTATTCTTCCCCTTCTGTGTTCCTCTCTTCTGTTTCTCAAAGATTCATTACTTTGAAGAAAACAAAACAGCTCAGTCAGGAAACGTTCTTTCACTGATCCATACAACAATATTTACAGGGCCACTACCTGTTTGAGGTACTATGTTAGGGGTAGCCAGACACAATGAATTAAACAGACACAAATCCTTCCCTTGTGGAGTCATAACTGGTGGGGGAGAGTGACAATAAACAAGTACAGTGAAAAATCAATGCCTAATTCCAAAATATGATATAGGACCCAAAAGAGGAAAATATACACTAACAATGGAGAGGATCACTTCTGATAAGCTTCCAGGGAACATCTCAGCAGAGATTACAAAAAAGCCAAGACCTGAACTGGTGCCAATCACAGAAAGAGGGAGAGGACCAATATTTCAGAGAAGGAGACTAGTACCACCAAACGGTCCTAAGATGAAAAAGTGCATGGTGTGTTGGAGGAATTGAAAGAAAACCGAAGGAACTGAAGAGTAGTCAGCTAGAGTAAGAGAGTCAACAGATACGGTTGAATTCAATTAATACATTAACCCAGACTTAAGCCCCTCTACCAACATGCTCCTCAAACCATACATACTTCCTGAACAACAGTCTCTGAAGTGGCAAGTCCGACCTTCCTTTTTAGATCTCAATCAAGCTGATTCCTTTGCAGAATTTGAAAACGATGCCTACATCACATCTTCCTGTATGGAATTCTGCCGGTGGCATGCCATTCTCTTCTGGTGTAATAGTGTGGACTCTCTTGTTGGACTGTGCTGGTTCAAATCCTGCCCCTGCCCCTTACAGGCTGTATAACCTTGGACACATTAGCTAATCTCTCTAAAGCTCAATCTGTCACCGATAAAACGAAAAACAATACTACCTCCCTCAAAGTTACTGTTAAAGATTCACGTACGGATTTAACACAGTGCCTGGAACACAATAAATGCTCAACAAATACCACAAATCATCATTCTTCCCTTCCTCTGTTTCCTAAGTCTATCTTCAGATGGTTCCTCTTCCATTCACACCTGCAAGACTATCTCTATCTCCCTACTTCCCACCCGAGGTTCTCCCAGTGTGATCTCATCCATCCCTAAGACCTCAACATGCTGAAAATGCCCACATCTATTTCATTCAACGCCAGACCTCACTCCTATGCTTCTGAAACCTCTCACGCTTTGTGTTTTTACATACATTTCCCGGTCTGTCTGGAAGGCTCCCACCATCCTCCTCCGGGGGCAACTGAACACTCGAGGTCCCCTCGCAGAACCTCGTTAGCTCCTCTACGATCACGGTTCTCCCTTAATGATCACCCTGAGCTCTAAGAGTCCCTTTACTTCTCGGTACCTGATAAAAACAGCAGCAAACGCTCTTGAGGGCTCACCACCGGCAAGGATTATCACAAGGGAGACCGGACAGCGCAGTCACCCACATGTCTGCCAAAATTCCAAGTCCGGCAACGAAATTCTTGAGTCCGTGCTCTCCACCACGTCACTCTAGTTTAAGCCTCAGCAGATGCTCGCGGTTTAAACTAATCAAGAAAAGGGGGGAAAACATTGTTAGTCAAGTCCTCTAGCTACACCTGGACCGTACGGTGGCAGAGGAAAGGGGACGGGCAGGAGCGTGCTACCAGCACCTGGAGGAAGGTTCGAGACTAAATCCGCGAGGGCCTCGGAGAGAGGGCGCGAGAGAGTGTAGCGAGCAGGGAAGGTCCGCCCCAGAGCAGCGGGTGAGACCGGCCGTCGGGGGCCTGGCACAGAGGGGCTCGGACAGCCCAGCAATCCCCGACGCAGAAGCCGCTGCCCACTCTTCACGCTCCCCCTAACGGTGCACTCGCACCGCCAAAGTGGAATTTCCGACAGCAGCGGCAGCTGCAGCCTCGGTCCCGGGTCCACTCCCCTCCCCACACCAGCCCCTTCGGCTTCAGCCAGGTGGACACCCACTATTCCCGCTTCCGGTTCAAACGCAGCGTGAACACGCAGCCTGGGTCTCCCGAGGAAACAGTCGGGGTCAACCGGGAGCGGGTACCATCTGCTCATGCGCGCCGACCCCCGCACGCTTTGCGCTCCCTGCGCCGGCTAGCCTCAAAACACTCCGCTCGTCTGAACAAACGCGCGTGCGCGTTGCCCGCCAATGGTGTGCGACCTTGCGCTCGCCTCCCGCCCCCTGGCTCCCGCAGTGGCACCTGCATCCCACCTCCTCGCCGCCTTCAGCCCCACCCCTCCTAATAGGAGGACGGAAGTGACGACAGATCCGACGGGAACCGAGGCGGGTTTTATTTCGGCGCCTTTCTTTCTCCGGCGGAAGCGATTGGCGGACGCGAGGCGAAAGAGGCGGGACAAATTGCCGCGGGTTCAGTGCCGCCACTGGAACCGGGAGATGCGGCGCAGGAGCTGTCGCTGTGTTGGCTTTTACCTGAATCTTGTCTCTTGTGGCGGTTCCTGCTGCGGCTTCGGTCATGTTGTTACCCTCGGACATAGCGCGGCTGGTACTGGGTAAGCGCGGTCACGGGAGGGACAGGTAGTGGACCCGGCTGAGCGGGACGGAGCGACCTCTGGGGCCAAAGGTTCTCCCTAGGGTGGGGAAGCTCTGGGGCTCTGCCTCCCCGCCTGCAGGTCGAGACCTGCGGCGGTTCCCCTTGAGCCGGGCGCTCGGGTAGCGTAAGCCTCTTTGTGTGCGGCTGCTGGGCTCCCCGGAGGCTGCGTGGCGAGGGGAGGGCCGGGGAGAAGCGCGGGGCGGAACACCTGAGGCCCGGGTTCGGAGGGGGAGCCAGGCCTGCACGCCTCGTTGGGACCCCCGGAAGGAGACTTGTCAGAGCTGAGACCCGGTTAGGGAACACGAGGAGGTCCCCGAACAAGCCAGTCTCGTAGAGAGAGCTTCGCGATGTCTTTCTCGCCCCTCCAACGGCGAATTTGGGGGCGAACGGGGGTGATCTTCCCCGGCCATTCCTCACTCTCCCTCCCCGCAGTGAGTGGTCCAGCGTAGGGCGTCTGAAATGCCAGCTGCATGTTGTAAAACAGCAATTCCTCGTCTTCCTCCGGCCAGAAATTTCACGGAGGAAAATGCCTTCCAGTTGAAAGTGGGCTAGTGCTCCTGGTTCGTTTTTCCTCCATTTGAGGACGGTTGGTGTCAATGGCCTGTTGTCGGGGCGTATTGTCTGTGTGGGGAAACGGGTTGTGTGTCCCCGGGAAAAATCCAGAGGGTCGTGCTGCTAGGAGCAAGAGCCCTAGGAAGCTCAGACCCCGAGCCAGCAACGGTTTGCAGACCTCGCACGCGACATCCCCTGAAAGTAGATGGTAAACATCTCTGATGAAACTTCCCCGTAGTGTCCGCAGTAATTACTGTCGTTACCCTATTGTTAGAAAAATCCCGTTTGTCTTAATTTTTTTAAATACTCAGAGCTGTCGGGAAAACTGGCCTTTGTGCTCCGGGCTTTTGGTGAGCACATTTTGCAGGAAACAGGAGCGGGTAACGGTTGTACGGCCCCGTTTTAATTAATAGTTTATTAATGTGTGGTTAATCATCTGCACGCTTTATCAGAACTGAATTATCAATAGTTAACCTCCATCAGTCTCTGTGAGAAAAAGCTGGCTGTCTTGTAATTGTTACGTTTACTAGTATTATATGGAAACCAATTTAAAGTAGATTTTCACACTGTTCAAGGTAACATTGGTGTTTCCTCCAGGCATATAGTTTAAGGATTTTTGAGTTTTAGCAATTTGGTAATCCACTCCAGTTTCAGTAAGGATAGTCTTTAACAGGGTTTCTCACCCTAGCCCTACTGACATTTGGGGCCCGGTAATTATTTATTGTGGGGAGCGGTCCTGGGCATTGTGAGATATTTAGCAGCATCCCTGGTATCTATGGATTAAATGCCAGTAAGACCCCACTCCCACCCCTGCCCACTTAGAACAGTATAAGAACTGTCTCCAGATATTGCCCCTATGTTTTCTGGAGGGAAAATCATCCCCAGTTAAGAACAACTGATCTTAAAGCAATATGGTTTTCTACGTGGAATAATTCACACCAAATTGTATTCTCCACAAACCAGCTGCTTTGCTTGACTCCTGCTTTTTTTAATGGATAAAAATTCCAAATTCATTTTCTTACCCTAAAAATTCTTTGTCATTCGCATTCCATTTTAATTTCCACCAATCCTACTTAATATACCCCCCCATCCCTTCTTTGGGTTCTGTCATGGCTTCTGATAGAGTTTTGCTATTGATTTTGCTATTAAAAAAAAATCTGCCTAAAGCATTCATACTACATGTATTCTAAAGGAAAATATTGTGTAGTTATCAAAATTTCAAGTTGTGCAAAAGAATGTCTGATCCAAAAAAAGAATCTCCCCACACTCATTCTTCCTCAGTATTATGTGTGGAAGCTCATATCAGCACACAGATCTATAATTCCAAAACTAAGAGGCTTAAAATTGTAACAATTTCATTATTTTGTCATGATTCTTTTTTCAGTACCCCTCCCTGTCTTCACCTCTTTGTGTTGACTCCTTATAATGTTCTTTAAAGAAATCTCTGGGTGCTTAGTATGGACACTGCTAAATGCTAAGAATAGAGAAGTAGTTCCTCTTAGAGTTCACATAATTAGGTTTCTTTACCCTCAGGCATGTGCTCCTCCCACACCCGCAAACCCCAGAATGCTTTACCTAGACCTCACCACACATTCTACCTGATGCTCTATGTCACCCTTTTACAAATCAGATTCTGCAACATACCATGCTGACTTGAACTTCACTACATGTAACTAGCCCTTGCTCCTCAGCTACATCCAGCCATTGTCTCTCTTCTGTAAATATTGTACAGGCCAAAATAAAAGTGTTGCTTATTACACTTGGGACTCCACTTCGGTTTTCTCTGTATGTTGTACAACGTGCTCCATGGAATTGATCCTGCCTGCTTCTCCTGCATGATCTCAACTTTTCAATGTCCGCCCCGTGCTCTAGGCATACTAACTACTTGGAGTTTCTCCAGATAAAATCCACAGTCTCTGGAACCTTCTCTAGCAGGTGTAACTATTAGTGTCTCCTTAAGTGCTTCAACAGCATTGTACTTCACTTCTGTGAAAACCTTATCCTGTGTTATCGTTGCTTGTTTACTTATTTTTGTGAAATATACATGACATAAATATATGCAGCATTTTAGCCATTTTAAGTGTACAGTTCCGTGGTATTAAGTACATTCACATCTTTCTGCAACCATCACCATCATCTAGCTGTAGAACTTCATCTTCCCAAACTGAAACTTAACTTTTGACCTCAGTTTTCTTGATCTGGGATTAATAAGGCAGGCTTTGAAAAGTCTTGGAAGCCCCCAAAACTGTAAAGGTTTATGTCAGTTGGGGCATTTTGATGAGTGAAGGGGCCAGAACATTTCTTGGATCTCTAAATAGGTTTGTTTTTTTCTGTGTGAGTCAGAACCCATTCAGGAAAACTGAAGCCAATCTGAGTATTTAACATGGAGGGATATAATGAGGGAATGGGTTACACTGGTGATAGAAAAACGAAGAAGACAAGCAGCTTATGTGCGCCTGCTCGGAGAGTAACAACGGCAGGAAGCCACTGTGATAATCAGGAGGCCTAAGAGAAATGAAGCAGTCCAGAGGCTGGGTTCTTCCTCTGGAAGATGAAAGGTAAGCTTTTCTGGTGAAGGAACAGTAGTCCCAGAGGAGAATCTACTAAGGCCAAGAGGGAATGGGGGGAAACTACATGGCTTCTTTCAGCTGCGCTCCAGTCTCCCACCAGTGTTTCCCATTGTTTGAACACAGCCAGAAGCCAGCTGACTTGGAGCCTAGGAAACATTGCCTGAATGGGGTCAGGTTTCCCATCACACAGCTCAGAGCAAGTGAGAGGGGGAAGAAGAGATTTGAAGACAAACAGAATCAGAACTGACACACCTGAAAGGTCAAGAGCCACTGATCCTATTCACCTTTATGTATCTAAGATGTTTTAAATATTTAGTAAATATCTACAGAATTGCAGCTGTGATCATAACATTTCTTTTTTGCCTACTGAATAGGTCATTAGATTATTAACTCTGTTTTCTCTTATCCAGATTATCTTTATTATTTACTCATAAAAATATGTCATTGATGACATTTATAGCTTTTTTGGATCCTTACCCATTCTGTCTTATCAGTGGTATCTCCAGCTGTTCTCCACATATATTATGCTTTCTCCAGACAGTGCACATTCCCCAAACATGTTCTTCATGTATGCTTTTCATTGGCTTTTTTGGGATTCCCCAACCATCCTTCAAGACTCAACTCTTTATACCATTCATAATTTTCCCCAAATTGGTAATACTTTCTCAAGCCCCTCTCCTCTCATAAAATAAGTCCTATTGTCTTACCACCTTTGCTTTGTATTACAGTTACTTGCATATGTATCTTCTGGGTCCATTTAGGTAACTTCTTTATAGACAGAAACTTTGTTATTTGTGGATCTAGTAATATAAGGCGCTGCAGGTTTAGTCTTCCCAAGAATTGCTTACATTTTTAAATAATCAAAAGCTTCTGGGAAATGATAACATGTAAAGGAGGTATTTTCAGGTAGGGGGATTTGATACCTCTTGCTTTCTTCGTCATCACCTCTCTCTTTAGCTTTCCCTCCATAAATAGGAAGAAGAGAAGGCAGACTCTTGGCATCTCAGTTTCTAAAATTTGAATACTCTAGATGTAGTTAGGGTTTTATCTTTCCTTCTCTTTTCCAGCTATATTTCCCTTCAGTCTATTTAACTTGCTACTCATTTCTACCTCCACTGAAAAGCAGGCAGAGGACAATATTAAGAAAAAAGGACACTCAGGCATG